GCTCCACGTGGCAGGACTGCAGTTCTTTCGCCCAATGTTTGAGGGCCAGCAACACCGATAACGTCTCTGCAATACCTTGAGAGGCTGCCTGTTCCCAGCTGTCCTCAAATCCTAGGAGCCTGGCATCTCTGTGCGTCACTTTGGTGGTGTATGCCTTCGTGATGCGGTTGTTGATAAGCAAAATTGCGCCCGCACCCAGAGGCGACGCGTCTGACGATTGTGGCCTTCGGGTACTTCGTGGTGTCAAGCTTGAGGCGCCTCGTGGGTTTTGTCATCGCCACCTCCAAGTATTTGATCAGCCACACTCGCGGTTGTTCCAGTTGCTTGACCACGAAGAGGCCTCCTTTGGCTCTGTCGTCCCTGCGATGCTGGCGACGTTCTTCTTCCTTGCCTGACGCTATGTCGTTCAGCCTCTCGTGCAACACTCTGTAAAATACGGCGACAACCCATCGAGTACGTGGCAAAATCCCTGAAACCCAGGAGGTGCGGCCTGCGACCTGTCTCAGCTCCTTTATCGGTGCCATGCCAGCATTTGCCCAAGATTTGAGGACTTGTAGCAAGTCCGACATAAGTTTGTCAGGCAGGCCCAAGATGATGGCGTCCTCGTTGAGTGTGAATCTGACGCCCACCCATTGCACTTGAGATGATCTCAAGCCTTTCTTTAAGGAAACCTTCAGGCCCAAGGCGAAGAGTGTCGTGATGACCATTGCAAGTATGCTGTTTCTCTCCTTCAGCGTCCCTTGGAGGATCCACAAACCGTCGTCCAAATATGTCTGGTGCTGGGCTTCGTTGCCTTGGACCAGTGACTGAAGGAGTCTGGAAACGAGTGCTGCCACTCGAGACCACAACAACGGAGCTGTTTTGAAGCCGAAGAGGAGGGCGACAAATAGATGGAAACCTTCGCCATCTACGTGAGGTGCAAGGGTGTGTGGTAGTTCAGCTTCGTGAACTGCCAAGGACATGAAAGCGTCCGAGATGTCCACCACTACCAGCTCACGTGTGTAGCCTTCGCCGCTTCCGCATCCTCTGCGTTGGTTGTACACGTCCCTCATCATAGCGACCGCATCTCGTGGTCTCGGTAACACCAACTTCTCTGGTAGCACTGCTTTGCGATTGCCTCCAGACCGGCGCAAATCCAAGATGATGCGTCTTTTGACTCCCTCGGGCTTCTGCTTCACAATAAGGCCCAAGCGGCTGATGGTCCCATGAGACATTTCCTTCTGCACCGTCTCCTTGTCGACGTCAACCATGAAGCCTTCCGCTTTGTACCTGTTCAGCTCAATGCGGGCGTCTTCCAAATTTTCCAGGACGGAGGTGTAGTTGAGTATTTCTCCGTGGCTCATCTGGGCTTCGGCGTCTTCCAATTCGTGGTTGCCGTGGTAGTCCAAGTTCGAGCCTTCGACATTCTTCGGGAATATGCCCTTGACCGGAATGGGCATTTCTATGCCCAGAGGAGCCCCGTTTCTCACCCAATTCGGCACAGCGTCGTCTGGATCAGCTCCTTTCGAGACCCAGGCTTCCAGCAGTTCCGGGTCCAGGGGCGACACATACTTCCACCTTGGTTTGATCTTGACTGCAGGCGGCGCTTGAGCTCCTAGCACTTTGCGTAGAGCTGCTTTCCACTCCCTCACAAGGTGGTCTTTCATCTCGCAGTCAGGCGTTCCATATTTCTCTGAAACTTCATGTGCATCTTTGTGTCTCCTCTCCAGCGTTTCCCATGCCGCCCTGATCCGCAGCCCCAGTGACAACAGCGTGGCCCTGGGCAAGACTACCTTGTATGGGTCCTTCATGCCTCCCACGAATTCCAGCAGAGAAGGATCCGCTTCCTTCGAAGTGCTTGGCCTGAGCGCTTCATGTTTTCCTTCTCCACCTTGCCAATACGCTTCGGGAGTGTTCAACGCGTCCTTGGCTGGCTTGAGTTTGACCTCGGGAGGACTCATGTTCCTTTTCCTTCTTTTGAGAGGTGGCCTTGCTTGGCTTTTGGGCCTCTCATGCATCGTCGCCGCTTTGTATTCCCGTCTTGTAGGAGGACTGAGGGAAGGGTAATGGACTCTTCTCCTAGACCTCGATCTGGCTTCTTTCGCCTTCGTCTTCTTCTCGTCTTGGACGTGGGCGTCAGGGCCAAATGGTTCGTCTCTTTTCACAATCCGAGCCTTCGCCACGTCGATGGTGTTCTGCAGCGACGCCATACGGGATCTTAAGAACTCCTCCTTGCCCATCAATTTCAATTGTTCCGCAGCAAGTCTTGCGTAAGCCTCACACAAGGCCTTGGGGTATGTTGCCGAGGCTTTGGATTTTGCGGGGCCCGTGATCGATTCATGGTTGCCCGGTTCCCCGCAAGTGCATTCGAGTGACAGGCATTGCATGCCCCTCAATGTGCCTTCGAACTGCTGAGGCTTGAAGTGGCGCTTTCCCAGTTCCAAATCCTCTTCATACCTGCAGGTGTTGAAGATCACCCCCTGGCTCGGTCTGACCCTTCTGAACTTCTCCATCTCCGGCAACTCCCAAGCTGACAGGTGTTCGGGCTCATTTGATGGCGGGGGATTTTCAAGAGTTGCTATTGCACCCACGCTTGACACTCGTTTTGATTCCCCTACTGCTGTGGCCATGTCTATGGCTCTGCATGCCATGACGGTGCCCCGGTCACATTCAGCTTGGGCAGCTGGGTTGTTGGTGAGCCGTCCATAAGGCTCGAACTTCGTCCGAACTGGCCCCGGTAAACCTTCCCTTCGCCGGAACCTCAAACGCGAAAATGTAGAACATGGAAATCCTGCATGAAATGCATCGACATAGCCCCGCTTCGCCCACCTCAAGTGGGTGTTGTACGGTTCATCGGCTAGGAGATCTCCGGTGCCGCTTTCCTTCTCTACACTGTAGGCTTTGAGCCTGATGCCCTGCTTGAGGGCTTCGTTCCTCATGGCTGTTGTGAGTGGGTCTGCAGGGCCCGCGAAGTGATGGATGAAGATGAAAACCCTCTTCTGATAGTATTCTTCCAATGTCTGTGACATCAATGGGTCCTTTTCATCAGGATCCTCCTGGCCTTCGTCACCGTCTTCAGCTTCACCTTCGTCTGTCTCGTAGGTGTAGGTGTACTCTGCTGAGGACTCCGCTTCCGGCTTGGGCTCAGGCTTCTCAGATTTTGCACCTGTACCTTCGTGTTGTTGACCTTCTCCGCGAACTTTCACTGGTCCTTGTTCTTCGGGCACTCCCTGCTTGGATGGCCCGGTGAATCGCAAATGGTGCATTTGTGTAGACGTTGAATCCGAGCTTGACACTTCTGTCCAGGGGCGAGTGCACCACAGACTCCATTGCCATTGTTCCAAGAATAGCATTTCTGGCCGCTGCTGCCTTTACTTCCCTTTCCTTTTCCTTTTTCTGGATTTGCTCCCTTTGAAGGCCTTGAATCTTCTCCAGCGTTTTGATCGTTCCTCCACTTGCGTTTTCTCCTCCTTGATGGCTCTGTTGCGCCCTGTGCCTTCGTGTTGTTGTTGTAGGACTCCACGACAGGTGTGATGGCGCTGAGACCTCCCTGCATGTGCCCTGAGGCGAGTTGTTCCGCTGGAGTGCGGGGCATGCCATGTGAACCTGCCGCAATCCATGTTAGGGCTGGTGATACCACCTGCGTCTGCCAGAATCCTTCGTCCCGTGCTAGAGCTCCATATATGTAGTCCCATGGGCGATTGAGGGCAAATCCATCGGGTTGCTGTTGCCCTGCCTTGATTTCCATGACCAGCTTCGACCTCAGTCTGTTCGCCTGAGCCGACCTTGCAACCTCGTCTGCGCTGTATATCAAATGCCAGCACGTGGGATAGTTTCTTGCCAATCTTTCGATTGTGGCTTCGTAGGCTTGGAGTGCTGCTAAGCCCACTGCGTCCAGCATCAACAGAGACGTTTTTAAAAGCCTGTAACACGTTCGCCACTGGTTGAAGTTTGCTGGACCTGGTAGTTCCTTCGTCACGTACCCGCTGGATGTAAGGACGAATGTGCGGAACTTCGATGCCTTTAATGCCCTTTGACCAAATGGGACATAGATCGCAAAGTCCACGAATGGGGCTGTGTCCTGCTTCTCGATGCGTTTCTGCAACGCCGACAATTGTTCCAACGTCGGGTCCTCCTCTTCCGGCGGATAGCCCCCCACCACTTGGACATACCTTTGGTACCACTTGGCTCTCATCTCCTCCGTCTGCACCGTAAAGTCCCCATCGTCCATCTGGTCCAAGATCTGTGTCATTTTCATTTTCCTTTCGTTGCTGTCTGATGCATCCTTCGTCACCGCAGGCTCCACCGTGATGCGTTGATCTCCAAATGGGGATGTTTCTACCCAAGCATCCCAATCCCCACCGCTTCGGGTGTGTTGTATGCGCCTGGATAAGTTGTAGACTAATCCCACATGGGAGGCCTGCACTGCGCTCAAATAGCTCCCGTCCGGCAACTGACTTCGCTCCAGCGCTGCCGAGACAATGCTTGGAGGTAGGACAGCTAAAAGTCGCATGTCGTCCATCGGGTCCCCCGCAATCTGCACGAACGCGTTCCACACGTTGTCCGGCAAATTGTAGTGCTGGCGAAGGGCCCCAATAGATTGCATCCTCATAGCATCGGACTGGACGGGATACATTGCAGCTGACCGCGCACCCAAAGAAAAGTGTCACAAAAGACCACATGATGGCAGGGTGGCTGGTCAGCTTGAGCCAAAATGGCAGACCAGCCACCTGCTTCTGTCCCACAGAAAACCTGCCGTTTTCTTTCACTACTATTGGTCCTACGAAGACACAAGTAGTGACTTATGAATATGATGGAAGTATTGCCTCTGCTGCATCCTGCTGCTGCCACTGCTATATACATCTGCATTTGTTTAATTTTGTTTATCCTATCTAAATGATCTAAATGTGTAGATTGTGTAGATCCAAAGAATTCCAAAGAATGTCTTCGTGATGTGTTGTGCCGTTGGGCCGTTGTGCCGTTGTGCTCTTGCCGACTCATGACAAGCCTCAGGCCCGCGCATGCTGGTAAATGTCTATGTTAGCGCTCCTGGGTGAGTCATGTTGAGTCATGTTGAGTCCAAGCGGATCAAGGCTAAAGAGGCAAGCTGTGGTGCGTCTGGTGAGTCTGGTGAGTCTGGTGTCATACTCATGTCATACTCATACACTTCCACACGCACAGGTAAATCACATGCAAATGTATACGTGCTTGTGCATCATACGTGCATGCGCTTCTCATTGAAGGCTCACATGGTTGGACCACCAGTGCTGCCAGGTCTCATTTTGTAGTCTGGCTTTGGGAAGGAGCAACTGGTTCGAGTTGAGTCAAACCGTTTTTGCTTCAGAGTCTCTCCGACTCTGATACCCAGGACGCAGCCCTTTGGTACCTGCAAAGAAATCTCACGAACCGAATGCAGTAACAAGATGTACTGTAATTATTAATTAGTAAGCAACAGCAAATTTATTATATAGATGTAGAATATTGTACACGGTAGATATCAGTATAATATATAATATAACTATAGTATATTATAGATGGTTGGGATGTGTCTCAAATCATGTCGTTCGTTTGGGCATTTCAATGGCGTTTCACGGCTCCGCTGCCTCGCACCCGGGTAGAGCCTCCACATCCACCTGCATGGCCTCACTACCCCACCACACTTGAAATGCCAGCTCTTTCGTGAAGCATGGTAAAATATGGGCCGTTTGATGCACTTTAAGGTCTTCCATAAGCACGCATAAGCACGCAACGTTAGCCATATCCTTTCAGACCACGGAGGCATGTGAAAAAAGCTTGAGCCAGAGATGGGCATAGCCCAAGGAAAGCCGCGGAATTTTGTACAAGGCAGGTGTCTAATGAGTCTAATGTGTCTACGGGTGTGCTCAACATTGTGCAAAGGATTGCAACAGAGATTGTTACTGGAACCGGCATATGCTAATATATGCTATTGCCCAGCACCAATATCATTCATTATTATATCGTGGGTCTAAGGCTACTTGATCCCAATTGGCTGGAGAACGGCAAACCACCTGTCACTTGCAAATACCTGCCATCACCTGCCTTTTGGACGCAACGGCCGGTCGGGTTTGGCGATCAACTCTGAGCCGAAATGCCCCATGAAGAATGTCAAGAGCAAATCAGGGAATCTGGAATCTGGACAGAATCCCTTGTATTCACAGGTTGTTTACTCAAACAAGGGTTCATATATCTCTTTGCTCCGAAAGCGAGGTCTTTAGAGTCATTGCGCTGGCTTGCGGGAAGCCCTTCAAGTTGAAGTTCAATTCTAGTATCAGGTCTGCAGGGGAGCGGCCAAACTATTGTACGTATAAGATTTGACCCCATTGAAGAGTACAGCATTGATGCTGTGTTTCCAATTTAAGGATATTTAAGCTACAATACCATTCTGGCCTGAAATGGGATGCAGAAACTGGAATGGCATCCGCACGTACCATGGGCACACACGTAGAATGAATATTAAGTATGCTCACGGCTCGAGGCCATTGTCATATTTGTCCTGCAATGTCTTGCAAAAACCCAACATCTCTCTGAAACTGCGGCATCGGGGCCGTTGCCTGACCGCCGCTTGCGGGAAACGTTAAGGTCCTGCAAAGCAAACATGCGTTCATATTCGTTCATAAATTAATTCAATGTTGAATTCATGTTCATACTTCATTTACTAGTATAAAACTCTTAATGAGAAGCAAAGCCGCAGCGCCCTCAAGTTTCAAATTCCTGGTCCGAGTGACCGAGAACATGAAAACAAAACAAAACAAACAGAGCTGTTTCATGCTTCAACTTGTTTCATATTTTTGCAGGGCCCTGCCCTATTGTACTGCCAGAGCATGCTAATGCTTTGCCTGTGGCTCCGTCTATCACAAGAGTAGATTAGCATAATTATAGATTAGGTTCAAGTTTCCTCTAGACTCTAGATTGAACCCATGGATTGATTGTTGCCACATGTGTGAATATGCTGTGTGAGGTAAAAATTCATGATGAGAAAGCAGAACCGTCAAAAACTAAGGCCTTAGCAAGTTGTGGGCGTATGCTGAGATATGCTGAGGACCGCGCCCTGTGAAGCTCAGATTCCATGCTGGTCCCAAGCAAATCTCATGCCTCAGCATTCAGCACCAGCTGATATTTTGAACTTGTTCGTTAGCACCGGGAAGAAAAACTTGGTCCCACGCTGCTGCTGCGCGGGATCGCAGTTCGCTGCGAGGGTCCCCTTCGGCGGGAGCACCGTGCACAGCAAAAATGTAAAGAGGCCACATACTGTACCAGTACCACACCCCCTCAATTGTCACTTCCCATGGCCAAATCAATCAAACCGAATAACAAGAATAAACCATACGCATACTTACAGGACGCTGTAGGACATTAACGCATTCAGGACTGCCACACAGTGCCAACTGTACAGTTTCATCAGCCTCGAAATTCTCCAGGTTCCTTCCAATTTCAAGAAGCAGAATCACCTCAGCCAACAGGATCAACAGGATTGCATAGGATTGCCGCAAGAAACACATGTCTGGGCGTTTGGTTTATGCCAGTGTTCAGTTGTTCTTTTGCGCATGGCCAGTAGCTCACATCCTCAACCATGGGGATGCCATGAATTCTGCATCTGACCCTAAGTAACCCGTTCTTCTGAGCACGCCTGAAACAGCAACCCGAAGGCCTGGATCAATAGCCACCTGAATTGCAGATGAGCAAACCAAAATAAGGCGAGCAAGCTTGAAATAGATTGAACCGCAATAATGTGGAAATCCAATACAAGGACCATGTCTGACTGACTGTTTGAAGCAAGCAACCTGTTCAGTGAATAGTGTCCAGCTCTGCGTCTGTTGGCACATGCGGTCAGAATTCCATGTTCTCGAAACTGTGACAACCACCAACATCTAAGATTGGGCATATTCTGTGGTAGATGATGGTCCCCAAAAAAAACATCTAAAAAAAGACCTGCATGATAGTGGTGCGAAAAGTTTAGCCGAGCACTGGGTTGCCACACATGAGCACCACCGGTGCTTTGATTCTTCGAGGTTTAAAGTCGTCGCAGCAAAACGTGAGCCACCGAACCTCATCTAATGGTGCAGGCAAATCCTCAAACATGTCTCTGGAAAAAATTATGCACATGTGAGCCATGTTCTATATAAATGTATCTAAATGTCTTATATTCTGGCACCAAATAAGGAAATGCTTACGCCATCGCTTGCCTTTTGCTCACGCACGCGTTAGTTTTGCTTACGCGCATATCTTGTCTTACGATGTCTTACGCGGAGCTTACACTAGCTTACGCTCCCCACAGTTTGAATTGCTTACGCCACATCCTTACAAGGGGCCCCTTCTTAAACATGAACACAAGAGTTTAGAACGTGGCTCATACATGCTCATACAGTATAATGCTCTCATTGCGCAGCCAATCACGGTCCAAAATGCTTTGGAACAAAGCCCCTAAACAACTTCCATTGTTTTTGCCGGCCACATTGACATGATCAAGCTCCAGCAACGGCCAAGGGGATTGGGCAAATTACAAACGAACAAAGGTTGTAAAGCTCCCCTGTGGGCAGCATGGGCTGCGCTGGGTCCACGTGCACTTGCCACCAGAAAGGGGAAAAATCTTAGCAGGCGACGAGGGACAATAGGATTGCATTGTGAAAGAGCCAACTATTTTCCAAAGCGCGCCACGGCCCACAAGGACAAGGTTGCATCAACAAAGGCGGGATGTTCCCCCTTCAACAATGCGCGGCAAACAATGCCCAAACAAGGTCGGACTATGACTGCCTCCTTGTTGGGTGCCACAGCGTTGGCGGTACCACCACACAAAATCAAACAGCTCAAACGGCAGCCGTGACTGCAGCAAAACTTACCGCAGGAGCAAAGCACTGGAGGCAGAAGAAAGCAAGCCAATGGTCATGCATGAAGGCCAATGAAGGCCGCATGCTTGGCGCATCGTGGCGCTATATAAGGCCTCCAAAAATCTCTGAAAGGTCCTTGCCAGAAACAAACCCAAAAAACATTAGCAGGAACCGTCCAATTCTTACAGATGGGGTGCCAATTTCGCAGCAAGCTTGGCAATGACTTCTCCACAAACACTAGCCGGAAATTCTTGGCATGCACCCAACCAGCAGCAAGCTCCACATTGGCAGTAGCCGGGTCAGGGAGAAAAGAATTGGGCATGAACGTGACAGTGATATGTATGCTTTTTGGTTTATACTCTGTGTGTGTGTGTGCAAGACTATATGTCTATAATGCATGTATAATTAAATATGTAATATGTATCAAACATAATATAAAATCATATATAAAAGGAAAAATATACGGGTGTGTCAGTGTATGCGTGCGTGTGTGTGTGTGTGAACATGTGTGTGTGTGTGTGAACATGTTATATATATATATGTGTGTGTGTACTGTATACTTATATATTTATACATACATACACAAGCACGTACATACTCACGTGACATACCTACGCACGTATGTATATATTATGAAATATGATGAGATATCAATGATGACACACACACACAAAATCATTGTACTGTATATATATATATATCACATCATAAATAAAAGTACGTATTAAAATATTAAAATTATCATTATGGTTGGTATTATTGTTGTTGTTCATTGTTTGTCTAAAGGGACTTTCCGAGATCTAAGTCTAGGGTAATTACCAGCAACCCCAGAGCCATCGTATGCCATCGTTGCTCGGTGCATGAAGCTCTGGGCAGACTTTGTTCAATAGCAATGCAGCAATGCAGTAGGCGCGTGACTGTCGCGCGTAGTATCGGATTTTCATGGATTTTCTGTGACTTTCCTTTTCATGGCTAGACGGAAACTTTGCGCCATACTGGGTCCGTGTCATCTGACGTCTCCAGCCACCTGGTGCGCAGTTTGCTTCAATGCGGAGACGCAAATTTCGCTAAGTATAGATATATTATGCTAAATTCATCTGGATACATCTGATTTTCTTTGCGGATGTGTTTCTTGAATCCAATGGTCAGGAGACCTGCGGAACCGAAGTTTCTGTCAAGTATTTTCACTTGCCTTGCACAGCTCTGACACGCTTTGAATGTGCAAATGCCTTGCGACTCCTTTCAGCCATCCACTTGGATCTTCACTGACCTAAGCGCCACAAAATGTATCATGAAGCTGGCAACTGTGAAAGGAGCCTGCAGCCGCAGTTCTCTGAGGATTCTGAGGATACTGCTGACCCATACAGCTGTTGCCTCTGCCCTTCAACGCACATTGTGCACGCTTGAGAATAGCTACAGTGCATACACATTGACATGTAGTACTTGCACAGACTTGTAATAACAATGAAAAAGCTTGGAATGAAAGACTGAAACCCAAAGGGGAAGTGCATGAATTCACGCCTCCACCTTTTTCCTCATCTGCTGTGGTGTCCTTTCCACTAATGCTATGAAGGACAAGATCCAGGTTTGGTGGTAGAGGGCCAAGCAATGCCAAGTGGGGTTCAGCGTTCTGGATCTGAAAGTCCACAGGGCCCCACAAGAGTAATTGTGTATATAATAATACCAGCGCGCTCTTGATGGCAATGGTTTGGGGCAGTGAACGGCGCACACTTCATTTCCGAAGATTCCAAACACCATGTCAAACTAGTTCACGCCATCTCTTGGTCATACGACAACCTCAAAAACACCGCTGTAGAACATGTGCCTGTTTGTTTTTGCCTCCGCGCAGGGGCTTCTTCTCCTGCACATGGGGAGCAAAGAAATGGCATCCGGCTCTGCGCTGCCATGTTGCCAAGCAAATTCAGAACCAAGCAGACAAGAGCAGACCGAGCATTCGACCCGTCCCTGCGCCATTGAACATTGAAGCACCACACCTTCACCAAAGCTTTTCTCGTTTCAAACAGTTCAGAATGAAGCCGCAGAAAGCACAACGAAATTGCCACGGATTACAGTTAGCTTCAAATCGAGCAAGGACAAATAAAAGAAACTTAGTCGCGAAGGTCAACGAATGGAACTGCTGACAGAAAATTTCGTGCCTGGCAGCTACAGTAAGTACACCATGTTTCTGTCCACCTCTACATGAAAAAGCACCTGACAATAAAAACATATAAAAACATTATAAAACAACCTCAAGTCTAGCTGGAGTCTCGCCGCCTGCAAATATTTTCAAACGGTCCTCAATCAAAAAACAACTGAGATTCTCCTCTCTGCCCCCATTGCACACATAGCCCTGCAACTTGAATGCAATCTACCACAACTCCTTAACCCCCACTGCCTGACACATCGAATGCCACCCATGCCAGTAGGAGGTCACTAGAGGTCACTTGTACAGTCTACATCTGTCTACTGTCTATATAAAGTGTACATAAAGTGTTTTGCTTCGTTTTGTTGCATCTTCCCTTCGCCGTGTTGATATCAGTATGTAAATACTGTGTTGTAGTCAGCACCGACCACTCAACCATGTTTTAAGTTTTAACAGCGACTGAGCATCTGCTCTTGACACGTTACTTATGTCTTCATCCTGCCGCGGGCCAAAACGGCACTGATTGGACATCAGGTGTGTAAATGCCTGTAAGTAGACCTGTGCAGTATGCATCAATCGTCGCATATCGCCATATCGCAGTCAACTTGGGTTACTTGTATCAGTTGCCTCGGCACTGCTCAAAATGTAGCTGAATTTCACGGTTCTTTTCTTCTTTAAACATGTTCAACATTTGAGGACCGTGGCCAAGCTAGGCCAGCCGTGCAAAGCTCGGTCAGCATGTGCAGTGTCAAACGCTGGCACAGCCTCAGGTGGTGATCTACATAGTTCTATACAGGAGGTTCCGCCTTGAGTCCCTGACAGACTCACGAGATCATGGATTGGAAAAGAACTAAAAACGAAAGGTGCAGTTGGCGGGACATTGCGTAGTGTTTAATCTAGGAGATCG